AAGAAAGAAAGAAAGAAAGAAAGAAAGAAAGAAAGAAAGAAAGAAAGAAAGAAAGAAAGAAAGAAAAAAAGAACAAACCCACACTAAATGAGGGATGCTGCAATAATATGAGGAACATTTAGAACCCGGTCACAGCTGCAAGCTCTTTGACTGCCTGCAGCAAGTAACTGGCATGGGTACAAAACAGAGCTTGAAAAGCCACAAAGCTGATTCAATACCACTAAAAGGTTCCATTTGGGAAAATAAAAATAACTCCATTTACAAGGCAGGTAACAACACAGTACAAGTAACATATGTCTTTGTAGGAAAGGAAATTCGTAAGGCAGCAAATACTTCCATGCGTTAGCAAAGGAAGCACTACAGAAATATTATACACCTCTATTAAGGACAATGTGCAGATGAATTCCATTGCCCTCTGCAGACAAGGTAAGGAAATCCAAGGTAACCCACACTACTTGTTGGGTTTTATTGAGAGTAATTTGTTTTGGAGCCTAAACTACAATCTATTAACCAGAAAGCTTAGAATTTTTGACATTCTAACAAGAGAATGTTTCTCTTTTAACTTAAGTGACAGAGGCATATAGAAGGGTGTCTTTGTGCCAGTGTTACATGCAATGCAAGAGCAGTAAAAGAAAAAAAAAAACAATCATTAAACAGAAAATTAATAAGTGGTGGCAGAGCCACAAGCTACAACATTAAATAAGACATAAGAGAGATGATGAAAAACAAAAACAAAATGTGTCTTTTGTGCTGCTGATACAGAAAACAGGAGACAGGGTAATTCGTAGATAAATTGAGTTCTTCAAACTGAGACTGAGGAAGAAGTACACAGTTGAGGAGCTTTGGCTTGGTGATTGCCTTTTGGTTGCATAGTCTCACTCTGAAGATGGTTGGGCAAGGAATCAGAGAACTAAAGGGAACAGACTTACTGTAACAGTCCATGCCAGCGAACTCAGCCACTTCCCACAGGACATGATGAACTCTCACTAAGACAGTTTTTGCACTAGTAAAGCAATGTAAGTGGGAGAAACCACGAGAAGTTCCATAAAGGAAAAAGCATACAAGGAGAAAATGCTATTGTTAAATGCCTGTTGCTAAATCACCTCAATCACATTCATACTTTTGAAAAGGCAAAACCTCATCTTGAAAAGGGATCAGCATTATTCCCTTGCTCTACTCATTGGCAACTGGAAGCTTAGTTATCAGTGAGAGGCAAAGGAGAGCATCAGGACAGACACCCTGGGAAAAATTCAATAAAAACAAAGCCAGGCTAAGTGCAATGAGATCTTCATAATTCATCTTAAACTCCATTTTCCTAATCGTTAATATGCATTATTAACATAGATGTCATAATGATGCAAATTAAGCCTTCCTTTCCTTCTAAAAGCTACATTGCTCCTAATAATAAAACATTTGGACACACCTCCCCTTTATCCAATAAATAAAAATGCAGTAAGGTAATCCAAGTGGACACTATATATTTCGGGTATATAAATTTTTTTCATTTTTTTATTTTAAAAAACCTTGTATAACATTTGATTAACACTGGATTTGTCTTCTCAGTGGGAACCTGACTGCAAACTTCCTTGTTTTAATGTTTCCTGCAGGAGGAGATCTCTGTCACTTCCTCTCTAGCTGCCTGAATTGGAATTACTAAAGGGTTATTTTAGGAACAGCCTTCTGTGAAATTTTGAATTCCAGTGTAAATTGGCACACATTTTATCCTCCTGAAAAAAAAATCCAAGCAAGTCCTTCGCGGAAAAAAATAAAAATTCATACGAAAGCCCCAAGTTATTCTGCATAATATAAAAATAAAACATAATATTCAAATAGTTTCATATTTAAACCCAGCATCTGTCAACCGTTTAGTAAATATCTTCTAAAGTGAAAAACCGAAACCATTATTGATTTTGAACTGTGAAAATGGAGAAAATCATACTTTAAATTTTTTTCAATGCTATCTATGATGCATACAGAAATCGTAAAATAGCTGTTTAGCGTTGGCAACACCCAGCAAACTCTACAAGTGTTCATGGAGTGTCTGTGAGAGTGATTTGGACATTTGCTCATGATTGCATGTATTAAATGGCAGACTGAATTTCCTTAAATTTCAGTAAATTCATCCAAGGGTAAGAACTCGCATTTCTACAAGCAAAGTTACGCATGCCTGTTTGCTTGTCCTAGTTCACTGACAACTAGGATAGTGAACTGGGGAAGGCAAGAACGCAAGAAGTCAAGGCCATAGCTCATCAAAATGAAATGTCCCCGGCCTTAGAAGCTGCTGCCTTGCACGGCATTTCTGCCCTTTTTGTAATCTATAAACTTCATTTAAAAGTTACTTCCACGGGATGGTTCAGATCTAATTCCCTGAGATATCAATTGTCCTCTGAATCCTGTTCATTAGTTTTAGATTTCCTAAGTTATAACTTCTTGCACTGTAGTTTTTGTTGTGTTTTCATCTTTGTTACTTCTATTACTAATTTTGTGAATGGTTACGCTGCCCCTGTTTGCTTTTCATGCTTGTCTTCATCATGAACACTCCTACTGTGTGATGTTACCCAGCACCAGCTACAACACTTTGCCTGGACTAAAGACCAAACAATGTGAATAAATCAGTAACCATGCCCTTCAAAGTCTAAATGACCTTGTACTAAGAAAGTATATCCTGTGACACAGCTGAGCTCTCTCCCTATACAGATTAAAAGGAAGACTAAAATTCTACTTCATGATACTCAGCTCTAAGAGTTCACTTCCGGAAGAAAAGGAGAAGAGGGGAACAAGTGATCATGAAGCAGGGCTTAAGTTGAGATGCCCAGTTCCCTTGGAGGTTGAGTCTGATGGAGCTCAAGTTTGATGCCCCTATCTTGGCTGCCCCAGACATGCCCCAGATGGCATGATTTCTCATGAAGAGCCTATCGTATCATGCAAGCTCCCAGACTATCACTTTGCCAAACCACAGAAGAAAGGCACTTAGCCAACTTAAGGAACATTGTTCTCGGGGCACTTTGGCCCTGGGGATATTAGTAACTGAAGGACTGAATGTCTATTCAACATGCTGAGAAAGGTGGCGATGAGCTATTTGAGTTCAACTGCAACTAGGAAATTCTTACAGTGATTAAAAAGAGAGATGCACATTTTGTACCTGAAATACTAACATGGGAGAAAAACAAATCTGTGCTATCCTGGCATACACAGAGGGTTGCCTTAATTCGTTTGTCTACAGCTAATAAAACCACAAGAATCCAAACCAGGAAATATCTCAATCGTACCGCAAACACATCTGAGTCACTTGAACATCACTAGTTTTAACCCGGCCACATTACGCCGTGTAAGAGACAGAGCAAGAAAAACGGCGGTGGGCGGAGAAGTTGGACCTACCGGTGCACACCACTGCTGCACATGATGATGTGACAGGCGCCGAGCCTGTCGCACAGCTCCGAGGACACCGACAGCAGCCCAACTCCAGAGGCGCTGCAAGGCGTGTTCACGCAGGCGGCGATGCGCTTAGATCTGATGAACGACGTGACCAGCCGGTAAAGTTCATCTAAAGCATTGAGGGGCCTCATGAGCTGAAAAGAAAGTGCCGAAGACAAAGCTCAACACGTTTGGAAGCCCATTTGGGCGGCGTGCAATTCATCTGTCCCAGCATTCAGATCACTGATGTAAAATGCCATCTTAGGATGGAGGCAGCCCACTGGAGAATGTCACTATCTGTAATCAGGGAGTGTGTGGAGAAGCAGCAGAAGAGCTAAGAAGGAGGCAGGTGAACCACATCACATTTTACCTTATCTATGTAGGCAGCCTTGGAGGTGGCATTTGGCGGTGAATTTGACTTGTCCAAGTAGAATGCCCTGAAAGAGTCCAAAGGAAACCATTTATTGTCAGATAACAAAGAACATAAAATGCATGAAGATGTTCGGTTTCTAAAAACTTCTGCTTAAAGATCAGTAGATGAGCAAAGACCCTGACAATAAGGTTGGCTGGGACTAGGCAAAGGCAATAGTTACTCGTGGCTCCCAGGCACCGACTCCCACCCCCAGTCTCATAATTAGTAGTGGTCTTGTTTGTTTCAAAATTAGGCAACATGGATCAATGAAGTTTTCCAAACTAGATTAGGAAAGATACTCTGGACAACTTCCAAATGACAATGACATTCATTCCTATTGAGAATTAGTTTCTTCTTGCCTAAAATGCTGATTAAGGTTCTCTTTTTAAAAAATGCATATAATTAATTCAAGCTGGTTATTGCTCACTAGAATTCAGTCTGATCTCCTGAGATTTATTTCCAGGTAACATATGCAATGAGTGCCATGAACAAATAAACGGCCATAAAAACAAGGGGGAATCAACACCAGGAAGTATTTGGTGTCAATAGTGAGGTTACAGTAACCAAATGTCAGGAAGATGGCCCTAGTGAGCCAATGAATCCGTTTTCACTAGATCAATAGCAAAATTAAAGGAGATTTGGGTACTATTTAAACCTTTTCCTAGATTGCCCAAGAGGGAGACAACAGTAATTCAAAAGAAAGGCTCTCAAAGAAAAACCTTTATTTTAAAGCTTGGATCTTGTGAGGCGCAAAAGCATGCAGTGGGGGCAGGGCTGGAGAGCAAAGACCCAGCAAAGAGGAAAAGGTGGATCCTTGTGGGGCCTTGTAAGGAGCTGGGAGCCCCTGAGTGGAAGCGACCATTCAACTGGACTCCTTGGCAGAAAACTCATCGTCATGCCCAATACTTCAAGTGTTAAAGTTTAACGTGTCTTTCATTTCAAACACACGAGGCCAGATTTAGTATGCTATGAAGACCCATGCACACACTGCCATGCTTTGATACACTGTGGCATTTTGCCCTTTGTTTCGCCTTTTAAATAAATAAAATATCACCAAGACCGTCAAAGCCTCCTCGAGTGCATCCTCCTCCACCCTCCTGCTTGTGCCAATAGTAGTCCTTTCCCTAGGACCCATACCGTTCAGACTTCTGGAAGCCCATGAACATGATGGCCATGCTAAAGTCATCACACACCACATGGCTGGCTGCATCAGAGGTGACAGCGAACAAGTGTGGGCATATCCATATCTGTGTTTACAGACTTTCAGCCTCTGGCCTTTTAGTTTGAATTTGTACATATTTGTTGACTGCTCGTGTTTCTTCTCTTATTTTTCTGCTCCTATTTCTTACTTTTCTCTAGTATTGCACTTTCTTTATACCTGGTCATTAGCTATTATATTTTCAGTGTGGGGAAGTTTGAGGCAGGGTTTCTCTGTGTAGCCCTGCCTTTCCTGGAGCTGCCTCTGCCTCCTGAGTACTGGGGTTAAAGGTGTGCACCACCACAGCCTGGCCTGTAGGTATTACTTTTTGCATGATAGTTAAAGTTTACGTGGCTTAAAGCTTTTGTTTTTAATCCCACACATTTCTCGTCCTAGCTCATTGACAGCGTTTAATTTTAAAAAAAAATGCTTATTCAAGTTTTATTTTCATTCACTGTCTTTCAGTGCATATTATACCATAAAATTTTAGAATATATGTCAACAGGATTTCTCCAATATTGCTTTCAGTTCAGGATCTGAAGAAAGGTTTTTTCTGAATACTAAGGTTCCCTTTTTATGCAATCTCAGTTCTATAGTTTAACCACTCGTGTTTAGATGTATATTTGTTTTTATAGATTCAGGTAGGATCACAGATTGACATTTTCCATCAAAGGAATCTCATTTTCAGATCCGAAATGATTGCAGCTATCAACTATCCCAGTTTTGCCTTTCCACCAATATTTCTATTTTATCTTGGTGCTCCAATTAGACACATATTTACATCTTTTTAAGTGTGCTAGCCCTCTCCCTTTCCTTCCAAATATATCTGTACTGTATTTTAGGTGGTTTCCTCAGCAAGGCTTTTCAAGTGTATAATTTCTCCTTTGGTCAAGTATATAACTTGGCCTTTGTTACAAATTACACTATGATGATTATCTTTTATTTTCACGGTATCTATTTGGTCTCATTTTTCTTCTGTCATGAAAAGTAGATGCCTCTCCCACCCCTGAATATCTTTTCCCCATGTGGACTACAGAGATGTTCTGCTTATTATTGTAACATCTAGCAACAGTAACAGGGTCATCTCAATAAATATCTGCAAATATATAATAATTAGGTCATTAGGATTTTTTTTGTTCCAGGATTTTATGTCTTTATGGCTAATATTCCTTTTGTCATACTTTCAGAATCCCAGATATATATTTTCTAGGCTGCTTTGATGGACAATTGCTTCTAGGACACTGTTATCAACTTGTGGGCCACAACCCCTTTGGGGGTGGTGTAGTAGAAGTTTTGGTTCTTTTAAAAACTAAGTTATGTTATGTAAACATGTTTTTGTTTTAATCCCAAGTGTGGTATATGGGGCTGCTTTAGTTTATCCACAGCTGTTCATTGTAATTGCCTAGTTCGGGGTATGGTCTTTGCCAGCTAATAAGAGCCTCCTGCAGCCTGGAGATTGGTGTGGTCTTGTCAGCTGGAGATAGTTTAATTCTGAGGACTCTGTAAGGGTCTAAATACCAGAGCCCAGAGTGAGAATGAGAACACTGCAGAAGATGTTTTGAAGGACAGTTTGAGGAGGCTCCAAGGAGACCATTGGAGGAGAAGAGAGAAGGCTGCTGCTATATTTGCTGCTTCAGGTTTGCTGGACTGCTGGATATCCTGATGACTGAGACTGATATTTCCCCAAAGAACCCAATGACGCTAACCAGCCAGAAATAGTAGAGAGACCTATATCCCGTTTCCTTTCAAACCTTCTTTCTCTCCTACCTAGTGCTGAGGGGTTGATGGAAGGTAGAAGTATAAGAAACCAAAATAAAATAAGAGTTAAAAATAGTGCCTAAAGGGGAGTCGTATATCAGATATCCTGCATAACAGATATTTACACTACAATTCATAACTAGCAAAATTGCAGCTATCAAGTAACAAAAAAATAATTTTATGGTTGGTGGTCACCACAACTTAAGGAACAGCATAAAGAAGGTTGAGAACCACTGTTGTAGGACATTTTTTTTTTCAGAGGCCAGTATTCTGGCTCTTTCTTAGAGCTGGGCTTTCTCATGACCTATGGAATTACATGTAATTTTACTTGCAGTGACAAAATCTTAAATACAGTTTTATTTATTTTTATGTAACTCTATGATGGTTCTTTCTAAAGTGATTCTGAAGTTATTTTGTGCCAAGAGTCACATTTCTGTCTTCTTTACATTAGACGTTTGGGTATTACATCTTGCAGACATCTAGAAGACAGTAGTCATGTCACAGACCCACCCAGTGGCTGGCTCGGTTTCTGGGTTAGTGGCCCTCCTTGCTTCCTTCAGTCTTCTTCAGATCTAGCATTGCGTGAGTGAGTGTGTCAAACAGGGCGGGTAGCACATTTTTATCCTTTACCAAGAAACAGCTCTTCTATGCCTGGTCACAACTGGTGGAGCTGGCTCTGGACTGCCATGTTGTTGAGCTTAAAAATGACCTTCCACAGTCCCACAGAAACTGCCTCAGCCTCTCTGCCTATTCCAGGGCCCAGCAGGTCAGAGGTCTCAGTGGAGCCTTGAACCGTGGCTATTCATGATCATCTGTGACCTATACATTTTCTGCCCTCACATTTGATCTAAGAAAGCTACAAACTCGGAAGAGATGGGTGTTACAAAGTCAGATCCTCTCTCGGACCAAGTATTCTTTCCTCCGCTGTTTAAGGAAGAAAAGTACCAAAGTTCAAGGGCTTAGTCTCTTGGGGCCCCAGTGTCATCATTATGCAGATGGCACAGTGCTGGTGTATGAAGTGCCCAGTTCTATGATATGCAGATAGGACTTGTCTAATGGACAACACTGACCCAAAGAGCATACAGCAGTCAGGATTTTGGGGGAGTGCTTTAGTCATATGAAAGGACAGACTTTTGGAAGGGCAAGATGACTCAGCAGGCATAGGTGCAATCAAGCCTGACTATCTGAGTTATATCCCAAAACCCATATAAAGATGGACAGAGGGAAAAGACTCCACAATGTTATCTCTAACCTCAACATGTGCATTCACACATGCACATACACAATTAAAAAAAACACATTAAAAAGTACTGTTGTGAGAATTTTGGTTTCTTTAAAAACCCATTCATGTTTTGTGATTATGTTTTTGTTTTAATCCCAGGTGTGGGATATGGGACTGCTCCAAATTGTTCACAGGAGCTGACTATGGTGTGCCTCTTGCTCTGGTAGGGGTGTGATTCTTGCCAGCTGAGGATAGTGTATGTTTTGGAATGCTAGGGACTCTTATAAAAGTCAGAGCTCCAAAGAAGACAGCTGGTTCCCCCTGCCCCCATTGCTGCCTCTGCTGCTGCTGGTCCCTGCTGCGGCTTTCGCTGTTTGGTGGCTTGCTGGCTTGCTGTTGCTGGTTGAAGATATTTTAAAAAATGAAGATTTGACTTGCCCCAAGGAACTCAACACTCCAGTAGTCTAAATAGATCTATACCCTCTTTCCCCTTTAACCTTCTTTCTCATGTGCCCAGTTGAAGGGTTGGAAGAGACTGGGGTAGAGAAGGGTAGTGGATAGAAGAATCCAATAAAGTCGCAGAAAAGGCCCAGCTACTCAATACATTTGTTTTAAATAGGTAAAATTAGGGGTGAGAGACATAGCTTGGCAGTTAAGAGCACACATTGCTTTTGTAGAGGATTCAAGTTTGGTTCCCAGCACCGGCATCTAGAAGCTTGCACCTGCCTGATCTCCAGCTTCGTGGGTTTTCCGAACCTCTTCTGGCCTCCCCAGGTATTTGCACCCATGTGCACATACACACACACACACACACACACACACACACACACACTTATATATAATTAAA